TCTCTCTCTCTCTCTCTCCCTCCTCTCCCGTGCCACGCCATGCCACGCTTTCCAATGTGATGCCGTGTTGGCCAAAGTTCGAGGCATAAATCAATTGTACATTAGCATGTGATTGCGCGCCCCCGTTGGCCGTCTGTCTGTCTCTGTCTCTCTCTCTCTCTCTCCCTCGCACGCGCTGCTCCATCCACCTCTCTGTCTCCCTCAATTCCTATCCATCTACATTTCTACCGGTCACTCATATTTCTCCTCCTCCCTTCTATTCTTTCCATATTTCCTCCTCCCCTTCCCTTCATACACATCCACCTGAAAATCCATCTCTTCTCTATGGCAAAGTAATGACTGCTACTGTCATCCCGTCGATCACTTTCTTCACTTCTCTCTCTCTCTCTCTCTCTCCGACCCCTTCGCTCTTACTCCCTCTTAGATGGGACTGCGTGCCGCTGTCTAAGTTTGATCTCGCTAAGTCCGCCGCCGCCGCTGCGCTTTCCCCTTCTTCTCTCCGCGCCAAGTTGAGGGGCTCCGGAAAGCCGGGACGCGCAGGAGTGGCAAGGGCGGGGGGCTTAGCTCACACCAAGTAGTGAAAGAAGAAAGAGGGAGGAGTGGTAGGTGGGGCGGTGGGGCGGAGGAAAAGGATATCTTTCCAATGCACGGGTGACTGGTGTCTGTGCGTGACATGATTATCGTACTTGGTCCCGGCCAGGGGCCACACTGGCCATCAAGACCCCTACGGCCCTGCCACGCCACGCCCCGTCACGCCCCACCACGTTAGGCCACTCGAATGGTAGGTGTCTTTTTTTTCTTTTCTTTTTTTGTCAGAACTCACTCGGCGACACATAATGCGCAAGTGATTTTTCAAAGATGAATTAATCATTCATCTTTGAAAAATCATTTGCGCATTATATGTCTACTGGAGCGCCACGAAACTAGTCTTAAAATCTAAAGAAAACTAGCGCCAACAAAACTATAGAGCGTTTTTAAAACATTTGTATCTCTTAATATGATTTTGTTTAACAAATTTGAAATTTTCACCCACACCTCACCTCAACGAGTACAAAAGAATACAAATTAATTGGGGGCACTGACTTACATTTGTTGTGGCGGTGAATTGTGTTTTTGTAGAAAGAGGCAAGTGGAATCTTTCTTCATTATTATTTTCATTTTGTTTTTATTTAATTTTTAAAATTTTAATGTTTATTAAGAGTTTGCATTTCGAAGGACTTAAAACGTTCACAAGAAATGGGGTCATCTGGCCGAGGCGCCTGGTGGTTAGGCAAGTCACGGCCAGTCTGCTTGTGCGGGTGGCCTACCCTCGAGCCGTCAGGCGCCAGACCAGAGGTGCGCTTTACTGGGATGGGGCGCGTGAGTATGGACTCGGCCTTACTTTGATGTTTTCGTTAAAAATCCACCAAAGAGAGATCCGGTTTTGGAAGAGCATATCTAGAACTTATTGAGAGAGAGAGAGAGAGAGAGAGAGAGAGAGAGAGAGAGAGAGAAGGGGGGGGGGGGAGGGGGACAGACGGGAGACACGGCACGGCGATGTAATGCTCGGACAGCTTCCTCCTGGTGCACAAACCCGACGGGATCCTGCTGACGCCGTTAGCCCGGCCCGTCCTAAGCAAACCGGAGGCAGGCGAACTCTGCACCGCGCCACGCCATGTCAGATGAAACGAACAGTCAGCGCAGAGGCGCCCGCTGGAGCTTACCTTGCCGGCTCATGCCCATAAGAGCGGGCGAATAAGAATTTTTTTCTCTCTCCCTGAAGTACCTACCAGCTAGCCGCTCGCAAGAGGATTCGCACCGGCCCCGTTTGCCAACAAAAGCGTATCGCTTACTCTCCCTGCTCCCAACACACTACCCCCACCCCCCTTCCAAAACCCCAAACTGGATCGGCCCGTTTGATTCGGTGTGCAAAGTTCGGCCAGCAATTAGGCATCCTACCTCGCCAGTTAAGTCGCCCTAAGAGGCTGCCTGGCACAAGACTCACTCCCCAACCAACCCTCTACACCTTCAGACTCACAGGTCGAAAACCTTAAATATTGTTCTCTCTCTTCATCGTACAACTCCGTATGAACTACCAAAACCTCTGCTGTTTTCTTGTTGTTATTTTTTAGTCGAATGGGGGTAGGAATGAACACTATAGGTTTCGATGGAAGATATTCCTTAAAATAGTAAGTAGTGGAAAATTCGTTGTAATTTCTATTTTTTCCGACTCGCGGAACAGTGGTAGGCAATTTTTGAAAAGTGCCAAGTCATCCACTTTTGTTACTGGCAAGCCGCACATCCGCATAATTCTCAACTCTTTACGATCAC